CTGGCCGTCATGTCCTCGTCTGTGCCGTGGAGGTGCAGGGTGAAGCTGGTCAGCAGACCTGGGGGCAGGAGGGACAGGACTCGGTGCTGACGGCAGCCGCGTTCCCAGCCCTCCAGGGTTTGGGATCCGCAAGCTGGTGGATGCGGAGCTGGAAGCTCTGGGGCCACATGGAGGAGAGCAAGCCGTGCCCCCTCCCTGGCTGTGTGCTGGCTGGGGAGACCCTCAAGACAAACAAACGTGGCCCTGCAGAAAAAGAGGGCTCTGGCCAGACCCCGTGCCCAGGAGGAGCAGGGAGAGGACAAGCCAACAAGTTGCTAATCAAAGAGGAGGAAAGAAGAGGCAAGAACAACCGGGCACTGGGTGACCTCAGTGAACGGGGTTCCCTCCCCGTGGGCCCTGGACACCCACCTGTGTTATAGGCATCGCCCTTGTTCTCTAGCCGGAGCGTCCAGGTCCCGTTGGGGTTCTCGTCCCAGAAGTGTGTGGACATGAAGGTCCAGTCCTCGTAGCCCTGCTGGCTGGTGTCGTATGGGCTGGAGGAGAGGAGAGCTGGGAGCGACAGCCCAGGGGCTGGAGGGGAGGGACGCAGCCCAAGGAGGCCCCCCAGTCACCCTGTGCTTGGTACAGTGGGGTATTGCTAAGACGTGGCAGGGGCCACAGAGGAGCCTTGGGCACGGTGAGCCCGTTCCCTGTGGGGGCCAGAAGCAGCCACTTCAGTGTGGGGGGGAGAGAGTCTCCTGGGCTCGGGAGAGGCTGCGAGAGGAGTAGTGTCCCCCCCTGCTCCCCAGCAGCTGCTAAATCTCAGCTGCAGTGTGCTCCCTGCGAGCTCGCAGAGCGCCCTTACCGCACGGCCAGCAGTGTGGACGTGGTCCCCATCGGGCTGGTCAGAGCGATCACCAGGTCCCCCCTGCGGCTGTAGCTCAGAGAGAGCCGGACCTGGACGTGCTCCAGCGAGCGGATGCGCTTGGTCCTCCCCGAGCAGGAGGAGATGTCTGTAGAGACGGTGAGCTCGGGGCCGATGTTCCTGCCAAGTACAAGACGGAGGTGAGGGCACCTCTTCCCCCTCCAAGGGCACCCTGCCCTCCGCCGCAACCTCCAAGCACAACCCTGTGGTTACAGCAGAGGCCGTGCAGCGCAGACCGCTTTCTGGGAAGCATCGCTTGTTCCTGCAATGGGCACGGCACAGCTTTGCTACAAGAAAGTCCCTGTGTGAGCTCGCGTGAGGTCAGACCCAGGGGATACCGTCCCTTACCGGGGGGCGTGAAGAGCCTTGACCGAGCATCTTCGCTGAGGCCGAGTTCCTGTCCACGCCTTGGCCATCTCCACCAGCAGACCGGCGTCCAGGAGCCCGTAGCCGTAGTGGTGGCTCACTGAAAAGCAGATGCCACCCAAGAGAGGACACATGAGCCCCTCTGCACTGAGAAAGCACCGGGGGGGTCCTGCCCCAGGCCTGCTGGCAGGAGTTTGAGGGGCAGCACGTCCCCCCCCCCCCCCCCCAGGGGGGGGAGGCCGAGGAGGCAGGGG